GGTTTCTGTCATTTTGCAGCTTCTCATGAAGGTTATGCACCTTTTAGGAGAGGCAATGAGGTACCTGTCAGAGAATTGAAAGAACCCAGTATGCAGGGAAATACTCATGTTCAATCTGCCTCTCCATGGCGTCAGCCTTCTGCGGGGGAAAGATCGAATAGGAACTCACATGATTGGAACGACCCTTCAGCTGATAGCAGGCTGAAATCTTCTGACAGCGTCTGGTCGCATCCTAAAGATGCAATAAATCATTTAGGCGGCAATAATATGATGTTGCCACAGTCCAAAGGTGAGTCCAGATGGCAAATCAGTGAAGATCCTGCACTTAGAAGGCAGCCGTCTCTGGTGTTCGACAGGGAGCAGGAAGTTAGAAAGCTTCTGCCATCTTCGCCTGAAGAACTTACACTCTATTATAAAGATCCTCAGGGTTTAATTCAAGGCCCTTTTTCTGGATCTGATATCATTGGATGGTTTGAGGCTGGGTATTTTGGCATAGATTTGCTAGTTCGTCTTGCAAGTGAACCAAATGAAGCTCCTTTTTCATTACTTGGTGATGTAATGCCACATTTGCGGGCTAAGTCGGGTCCACCACCTGGTTTTACTGGTGCCAAGCAAAACGAATTTGTTGATGCAGCTGGTACATCAGCCTTCCCTGGTGTGGGGAAAGTTCATTCTGGGATGGGTGAGGCTGATCTGTTACAAAATGATATGAGGTATAAGCATGTTGCAGGAACTGTAGCGGAGAATCGGTTTATTGAATCATTGATGTCTGGGGGTTTGAACAATCCAGCTCAAGGTAGTCCTAGCGTTAGCCATTTGATGTGTTTTAAGAAAATTTATTGTTCAGGACCAGCAACTTTATTTACTTTCTCTGTTTTTATGTTGTGTCTGCAGGCGTTCAAGGATATGGAGTAAATAGTTCTGGTGGGTTGTCTTTACCAGTTACTGATGGTGGGGCAGACATGTATCTCTTGGCCAAGAAATTGGAACTTGAGCGGCAGAGATCAATACCTAGTCCGTATTCATATTGGCCTGGTAGGGAATCTGCAAACCTGATGCCAGGATCAGAGAATGTGTCAGAAAATGCTCAACAACCAGCCCGTTCTCCAAGTTCTGATTTGTTGTCCATCCTCCAAGGTGTAACGGATAGGTCTTCTCCTGCTGTTAGTGGTCCTCCTCCTGCTTGGTCACAATCCATTCAAAAGGAAAGTGATTTGCACCATGCCAAAAGTTTCCAAACGCAAACTCCCTTTGGGGTCCAACAGCAGAGACTGCCAGAGCAGAACTTACCTTTGGCAGGTTTACTTGGTCAACCTATTGAACATAATCCAGGTGGCATGTTATCTCCTGATATGATGCTCGCTGCTGGACTCTCTCAAGAACATCAATCGCTCAATCTGTTGCAGCAGCAACAGCTCTTGTTGCAGTTGAATTCTCAGACACCACTTTCTGCCCAACATCAGCGTCTATTGGTGGAAAAGATGCTCTTGCTTAAACACCAACATAAACAAGAAGAGCAGCAGCAGTTGTTAAGACAGCAACAGCAGCTGTTTTCCCAGGTTCTTGCTGATCAACAGCGTTCTCAGCAACGGTTTGGAGAGCCATCTTATGGTCATTTGCAGGCGTCTCTTGATGCGCTTAGGCTGCAACCATCAAAAGATATGTCACAAGTCAATCAGCAGATGCAGGTTCCTGTTTCCCGTGAGGAGCGAGGTGTCAACTTAGCTGATCTGCTCCCAGTTACACATGCCACTAATCAGACTGTTGCTTCTTTCGAAACCCCCTCTCTGCATCTGCAAAACCAGCTGTTTGGTAATGTTGACCCTAGGATGAACGAGGGGATGGTTCTGGCTGATCAAACTGATCATACCCATAAAAAAGATTCAAAATCAGAATATGAAAGAACAATTTCTGCAGACTACATGAACAGCTTGTACTCAGAAAAGCCTGTCCTCTCTCCTGGCTATCATGCTACACATAATGAGGAAGAACCTGTGAGCTGTCCAAACAATGAAAGCTCCACTTCTACTACAATAGCTCCCGAAATATTTGAAAGTAAGTTGCTGGAGGAGCAGGCTAAGGACATGTATGCTGGACAGGGAGATATCAGTAATGAGTTATCTGGGGAGATTCCTGCAACTGAAGTTAAAAACAATGAAGTTTCTGTAGGACGGAAGACTTCTGAGAAGAAGTCCAGGAAGCAGCGGGCTAAGCAGTCTGCTGAACTGGCTAAGACAACTTCTAAAGCTTCTCTGCAGGAGACAAAGCAACTTGAACCAGGAAGTGCTGATGATTCTGAGATAAAGGGTAAAACTAAAAAGTCGGCTGACACTTTGATAGACAATGATACTCGCCCCATTAAGAGCTCCACAGCCACAGCTTCAGTCACCTCCCAAATGAGTTCTGAAGCCGATTCAGTCAGGGGAGAAGAGTCTTCACTGCAAAACACACGAACACAACCAGGACGAGCTTGGAAGCCTGCTCCTGGCTTTAAACCAAAGTCATTGCTAGAAATTCAAATGGAAGAACAGAGGGTAGCTCAAGCAGAAGCTTTAGCTCCAAAGATTTCTACAACTGTGAGTTCAGTGGGTACGGCAGCTCCTTGGGCTGGGATTGTTGCCAATTCAGATCCTAACATACTAAGGGAGACTCATGGAGAGTTGGCTATTACTCAAACCGGTGTTGTAAAGCCTGAAAGTGTTCCTGCTCTTAAGGCTAAGAAAAGCCACTTGCATGACTTGCTGGCTGATGATGTTTTTGCCAAATCCAGTGACAAAGAGAGGGAAGAAATGGAAACCGTCTCTAAGAATGACGCATTCATGCAAGTCACGACCACTAATGCAGAGTCGTTTGACGATGATAACTTTATTGAGGCTAAGGAAACAAAAAAGAGCCGCAAGAAATCTGCGAGAGCAAAGAATTCTGGGGCGAAAGTTGCTGCACATGTTCCTACTGTAGATACATCCTTCCAAACCAACTCTGTTGAGAAGGGAAAAAGTTCTCGTGTTATACAGCAGCAGGAGAAGGAAGTTTTGCCTGCTATTCCTTCTGGGCCTTCTCTGGGAGATTTTGTTCTCTGGAAAGGAGAGACTGTAAACAATCCTCCACCGGCTGCTGCATGGTCTACTGGTCCGAAAAAATCCACAAAACCTAGCTCGCTTAGGGACATCGTGAGGGAGCAGGAGAAGATGACGACCTCATCTCATCCACCCCCTAGTCCAGTACCTACCACCCAGAAAGCTACTCCACCTCAGGTTCATCAGGGCGGTGCTTCCTGGTCGCGTTCTGCATCTTCCCCTTCACAGGCTGTTTCTCAGTCTTCTTACCAGTCAAAATCCAAAGGAGATGATGACCTTTTCTGGGGTCCAGTTGAGCAATCAACCCAGGAAACAAAACAGTATGAACCCATCTCTTGTTCCTTGAGTTCCCTAATCGTCATATCTGATGTTGTGTTACTAAATATATTGAAGGAGCAGCTTTCCCTTATAATTTGTAGTTTGTACATGCTAAATGAGTTTGCATTTTATTATCGCCTTAGATTTGTTGAAAGAATCGACTAACTGAGAGTTCTTTTTGAGCAGGGGAGACTTTCCTCATCTTACAAGTCAAAACAGTTGGGGAACCAAAAACACTCCTGGGAAAGTTAATGCAGGAACTTCACTGAATCGACAGAAATCAATTTCAACGGGATCTGCAGATCGGGTTTTGTCTTCACCTGTTGTCACTCAGGCGTCACAAAAAGGGAAAAAGGAGGCAGTGACAAAACTCACAGGTATGCTTTTCACTGATGCTCGCTCTGTCTGTCCAAAACTATTGGCTTGTTTTACTCATGTGTCTGGTTTTCCAGAGGCGAATGGCTTCAGAGATTGGTGCAAAAGCGAATGCCTCAGACTTCTTGGTTCCGAAGGTAAAAAGTTCATATTTCACTGTGGTTTCCATTTTGTTTTTGGTCGTTCCAAGTTTATCTCATTTTCTATGAGCTCAGGGTGAGCTGCCCTAAGCACTCTCTTTTTAATTTTCTTGTAACCTAGTTGGGACAGATTGAAGATCATATAGAACGTGAACATCCTCTCTTTCATTTCGATCAAACAATTATTCTGTTTTTGATGTGATGTGTATCTATTTTGCTAGATACAAGTGTCTTGGAATTTTGTCTGAAGCTATCCCGATCAGAAGCTGAAACTCTTCTGATAGAAAATCTGGGGTCGCGTGATCCTGACCACAAGTTCATCGACAAATTTCTCAACTACAAAGACCTGTTACCATCAGAAGTAGTTGAGATTGCATTTCAATCAAAGGGCTCGGGAGTCGGGACCCGAAACAACACTGGCGATGACTATTACTATAACACTACAGCTGCGAATGACGGGTTCTCGAAAGTTGGAGGAAAGAAAAAGGCAAAGAAAGGGAAGAAGGTAAGCTTAAGTGCATCGGTTCTGGGATTTAATGTGGTTAGTAACAGGATCATGATGGGAGAGATTCAGACAATTGAGGACTGAGAGGAAGAAGTTTGATATGTTTATACACTTTTGGGCTTCAGTTTTCATTGTACATTTGGTTTTTAGGACAAATCTTTGGTCTCCTTAATTTTATGGGATGGAACTTGTTTTATCTCACTAGGAAGTTTTGTTAGACTACTTTTAAGCGAGATGAGGTTTTTTCATGTTCCTCTTCCCTTTTAGTCGCAACCCAAAAGAGATGTTGGATCATGTTTGTTGTTTTATGTATTAGACACTTTTTTGTTCACCCAAGTATTCCATTTTGGTTTTTTTTTTCTTCTCTTTTTTTATAATGAATTTGGGTTTCGGTTTAAGATTTGGATGTGTCAATTGTAGCAATTTAGAAATCCATATTTGAACAGCAGAAGAATAGTTTTTTGTCTTGTTTCAGTTTAACGAGGAGAATCACTCAGATGTGTAAAACATCACATCGTGAAATAATGAATACACTGTTTGAGGTTAGCTTTTTAGTGGTGCAAAAAAGAAGAAGATAGATGTAACACTCCGGTTTCAGAAATATGGTTGTGCATGAGGAGATGTTTAAAAGAATTGATTTGGCCACCTATGTCACCAAAGTGCACTTATCTTTTCGGTCAACTGTTTCCTATGACGGTATGGCGAAGTCATGACTCCACAATAGAACCGGTTGTATAATGAGATTTTGATTCGCCATACTGTCATACTGTAACGCTAAAAGAATTCACCATATCGTCACACTGTTTGGTATATAGCAATTAAAACCGATATGAGTACATGGCGGGTGAGGTGGGAGGGCAAGTAGTGCGATGGTCCACTGTCCAATCTTGTGTTCCAATAATTAAAATGTCATATTTTAAAATATTCAAAAAGGAAAAAAAAACAAAAGATAATAAGGTAAGATTGAAAAGGGAGGAAGACCCTGTCTCTAAGCGGATTGATCATGTTTTTATTAATGAACATTGGGCTAGAATCTTCCCGGATGCTTACTCTGAATTTTGGGAGCCAAGCTAGTTTGATCAGGCTCCTAATTTTTGGCGCAATCTTCTTGCATTTGTCCCTTATCTCTACATTGATGACTGTCTTTCTTCATCCAGAAGAAGATAAGCGGGATAGGCCCGAAATTATACAGAACTTCACGGATTTCTTAATGGTGATTCTCCCATTAAGAGATGCTCCCTCAAGTGTTTAACTGAGGTATATTCAGTTCGTGTAGATGGTTGGATAAGTAATGTGCTGGGGCGTGGTGTTTCCGACCTTGATCTATTAATCATTTTGGATTATTTTTCCACTCTTATGGGAAACTTGTGTTTTTAGCTTCAAAAAAAAATCACAAATTTAAGTTATTCGTTTTCAAAGAGCTATTCATTTTGGTTAATATTGTAGTAAAGTAAAAATATAAATGTTTGTGGTAAAATAATTGTAACAACAGAGAAATATCAAATTTATTTGGTAAAAATAGTACAAGAAATACATATATCAAGCACTTTTCGAGATTGAGACACAATGATTCCACAAGTCATCACTCTTCTTCAAGTATTCTGTTTCGTGGGCAATTAACATGGGTTTATCTGCAATATATTTAATAAGTGTATCGTGACACACTTTCCCTTCTTTGACGAGATCGTTGCAACAAGGATCAGAGATGGTTCCATTTTCAAAGACAACACCGATTATATCCAACGCACACTTAGGAGTGATTTTAACAAGACAAGTATTCCATAATGATTTTGCTTCAGCTTCTTCGACTGAGAAAACCGGAACAAACACACACACCAAAGCTACAACGATGAATAGCGTAGTAATTTGAGAGCTAAATTTAGACATATCTACTTACGCTTGAAATGTACAAGAATTATTCTTATTTTATGAAAAACAAATGTAAGAAACAATGATTTGTATCTGTTATTTGAAATATGAAGTTATCTAACCTATATATAGGTCATTGAAATTATAACGTAACTATCAAAAAAACTATAAAGTTAACGTAATATTTAATGGCAATTAAAAATTTTGACAAAAAAAAAAGACTACAAAACTTAAAGTTAATGGTTTCTATCAACGTTTCAAATATAACAAAAAAAAAAACTAAAGACAAGTACCGATATCCAATTCAATATAAGAAACAGAGGATTAATTTTAACTTATTTCGATATTCTAAACCAAATTAATAATGAGTATGAGGTTCAAATTGACATATATAGTTTTAAGAAAAAAAATTAAATGGACTAACTATTTATAATTATAAATATAATTAATTATTAAAATTTTAAAAGCCTAACTCATATTGTATTTGAAAACTATTATTTTATTTATATAAAAAATCATTTTCCTCACAATACTTTTAATCTAAATGACTAATAAATGTTAGTAAAAGTTTATTCGATATACAACTTATTCGAAGGTTTTCAAAGTTTTTATATGCTGATATGAGATCCACAATAGCAAATAATTAAATTTAGAATATCATATATAGTTTTGTTAATAGATACTCTCTATGTTCCTAGAAGAGTGATGTTTTGAGTTTTACACACTAGTTAAGAAAAATTCATTGTTATATTTTTTATTGTTGGACTATCTAGTTTAGAAAAGATTAATTTTTT